ACATTTCATCACAGTCAGGCTCGGACTGGGAAAGCTTTTCGGCCCCTGGCATTTTTCCATCTACACCGGCCCACCTGCCTCGCCCGAAAAAAAAAGAAGCACGGTCCAACGCGTGCGTCTCAAATGTAAAACACAATACCAATACACATTGTGGATTAACCGATTTATCTTCAAGCATCACACGACAACCTTTGATTATGAACACGGACGTGACAGTGACCACCTGGCAACAATGCACATAAGATGGGAAATGTTAGGCTTTAGATGCAAAACCCCATCATGCACCGCAACATATTTTGGCAAAATATTTAAACATTAATTTGCCAAATATAAGAAGAACATCACAGTTTGGTTTAAAGAAAGCATTTTAGTTTCATTATAATTTTGTTTGTTGCAAGAATTTAACAGTTTGAAGAAATAGAAAATTACACCATATGCCAACCGTCACAAGGATGTGCATAACAAGGAAGGGCTATACATACTGTACAGTACTGCATGCATCATTTAGGTAGTTAATATTGTTTTACTTCTTGAGCTCCTTAAGTTATTTACTGTCACAGGTAGGTGCTTCGCATCGAGAGTAAGTGTTGGGGCCAGAATGATTTAAGGAGAGCCGGCTATTGCACACTGAAATTAGGACCGGCCCACCGGGCAAATGCCCAGTATCACAGATTACCAGTCCTGATCACAGCGCTGCGTGTCCAGTGCCCGTAACATCATCAGTGACCCCTCACATCCCCACCATGGGCTGTTCTCCCTGCTGCCCCCTGGAAAGAGACTTCACAGTATCCAATGCAGGTCCAGCAGATACCGAAACAGTTTTGTTCTCCACTGCCAATACACAGCTGAACTGTAGAAAACACTCCAAATCATGTCACAAACTCTGCCTCAAACTTATATCACCAAACCAAAACACTGCATAATTGCATCATATATATTTAATGCTCTGAACTTCCATATCAATGCGTTTTTCTGCACCATGATTTTTCTCCCACAATGTTTACCTTTTATCACTGCTGCACTTTAAGAAATGGAAATGTCATTCAAAATCTGCCTAAATTATGAAAGAATGTTATTAATTGCTGTAAGAAGTTACTTAACATCTTTTCTTTATTTTATAACCATCGGTGGAGATTTCTGTTTCTGTTAAAGCCTGTTGATATATTTAGAATGTTTGATTTATATCTAATAGAGAAAATTCTGCTAAAGTTTTTGCATCTAAATTTAGTAGTTGGGAGTTCCTTGATCGTGAAGTTCACACAAAAAAAGAATCCAAAAACCCATAATTTATCACGTTAAAGGGTGTATTCATCCAAATGTTCAAAAATCAGTATTTCTACCTTAATCATGCTTATTCTAAATTCCTAATTAAAATGACTTTGGTTCTTTTTATATCCATTTAAAAAATATCTATTTTTTTTCCTAGATGACGTCGGTATTAATGGTGATAGCACAGGAACAGACAGCTTCCTGTCACTACCTGAGCAGCCTAAATCAGAAGTGTGAGGTTTGCTAAAGACTGTCTGATGCGCAGACAACCCCTTCCAGGTATTGCAGAGCAGTATTGCGTAGGCAGAGGACAGGGAAGAGCGTTTAGGCTGGAGGGCAGCATGATTAACCACTCCAAGCCTCGGCAGCACGGCCTTAGCGGAATATGAGACATGCCAGTCCAGTATAATGGCCTTATTAGGATAATGGTGGTAGTTACAGGCTTCGTCTTCCTCCAGGTAATTCTAGCCGTGTGACGGGGATTACAATACAGACGCTCCAAGTGAATTTTGTGAGAGGGATGCTTTTGCAGGGACATGAAACAAGTGAAGAATATATTTTTGTTTGTTTACACCAAGCAAAAGAGAAAATGTTTGCTATTATGGATGGCAGATGATCTATTTCTCTAGTTTTCCATTCATGAGATAAGCATATCGTCATTTGTTTCAGCTGACATCCTGGATTGCAGGAAGAATTTGAGAGGTTCTGCAGCTGGCAGGCTCACTGCATAGAGCTGGCCAAATCTATCGGTCATCTCAGGTCCCTTGGACTCTTTAAAACCATTGCAATGCTTCTCCATGGCTTGTTGGCTCCCCAGCACGGTCTATATAGCAAGGAGCAATTTGAATTGTCATTTTGCCCAATTATATCCAAGATGAAACGAAATGGTGACGTACGGTGCATCATTTTATTAAAAGAAGCATAATGTTGAATTTGGCTGGGAAAATAGATTTTGCAGGGTTTTTTCAGATATGGGCATTTTATAGTAAAAATCATCTCCAACAAAGAACCCATCTTATCCAACATTCCCCTAAATCATTGACAAAAAGAAAAAAAAAGAAAAAAGAATACACACAGACACACACACATGCTAATAAACTCAAAACGTATTAAAGAAACCCTTCATTAAATTTTTCCCTGTGGTATATCTTACTAGCATATACTCCCCTTTTTAAAACATTTTCCCAAAAATTACCAAAATTATTAATCTCTGAATTATATTTTCGGAATAAATCAAAGATAAATTGATAAATCGATTGGTCAAATCCTTCTTTCTACTAATTGGTCGGGAAATCCTCAATAACCCTGGTAAAGATATGTAATTATTATTAACGCTTCTTTTAAAATTTAAAAAATTGAGAAATCAAATTTGATTACATTTATTCATTGGGGGAAAAAAGTAATCCATGTAGATTTTTTTTTAAAGACCAATTAAAGCTGATTAAAGCATCAGATTATCAATATGATGAATACATCAATGGTTTATTAGATTAAACTTTACTTCATCTGATTAGTTGATAATGTCCGCTTATAAAATAATATTTCAGTGTTGTAATGTTACAGCCATCCAGTAGAGGGTGCTGCAGTTTATTGTTAAATGGAGCCTCACTGGTATTTGCAGTAGAAGTAATGCCAGAATGGATGCATGCTAGAGCACAAACAAGAAATTTTTCCATTTGAGATCATTTACACTCTTTAATGGCAACCAGGATACAGAATAAACTTTACGCGGATCTCTTTTTAAATATCTGTTACCTGCCTACTGTAACTCTGCACAGTTGCTAATAATTCCTGATCTCATCCACCTGCACGTTCTGCTTTATATTCAGTTCAGCCCCCAGCTATCTGGGCCAGATCATCGTTTGATTTCTGTTTGATACCTGTTAGTTATGTTTGTTTATGGAGTTTTAGTTAAGTTCATGTTCCTGTCGCCAGAGGCCAGTGGTCTAAGAGGGTTTACTGTTTGTCTTGTCTTCTGATCGTGTACTGGCTCTTCTGCCCTGAGCCCTCATGGTTTTGGCCCGGATTGCGGGAAAGGTCGGTTTTATGTCCCGTAAGCCTGGCTCCTAGTTGGAAACAAGTTTAAAGTTTCTGCAATTATAACTGGTACCATGTCTTGTATCTATCCTTCAACCACTGAGCCTGCCTGTCTGCATGTGTGCATTTCTGTCTGAGCTCATTGCTCAACTCTGAAGCTGCCTTCACAATGTGGTTTCCTGGAACCCTGGATCTGTCTGTTCCTGTGTTGATTGGACTCCTGGCTTTAGTTAATAACTAAATATCCCCCATTTAACTAGGTCTACCTGTTTAAAGGCCCTGCTAGCAGAAAAAAGTTTCCCACAACACTGATGGGGATTATGCTAAAAACAGAGCATGACATCACAGTTATAAACCACCTCTTTGAAACAAAGTGACAAATACCCTCAAAGCTTGTCAAAGCGACACACCCTATATTTAAATTACTTTTAAATGCCTGCATATCAATTATTCATGTGTCTCCCTTAACTTAATTGATAACTTGCAACACTAATGAGTCAGGAAATGCTCACAGTAGATCTTTTCCCATATCTCTATCAATGACTCGTTGAGAACCCAAACTTTCTAAAACTGTATTCAAGATTTTAGTGAGATAACGAGCCTACAAACCCTTTCCAGGGAAAGATAATCAGAAGTTCATCTGAGGGAAGAGTACATGATGTTTTACCAAAACCATCATCAAGCAGAGATGCAGGTGCAGCAGTTATTTTAACAGAGACTAAAATCAGTCAAGTCCCCCATGCTCAGCTCCGACTGGTCATCAGCTCAAATACTGATAATTTTTCTGAGCAGTCAATGACTAAAACTTTAAAAGTCTAATTTCTTCTGAGAAGAAACTAGACTTTCACTCCTGTTAAGTCAGTGGATCCATGAGTCACCTTTGTCTGATCTAGGTTGTTTTTATGCCTGCCTGTTAAACTCCAGTCTATTTATAAGTAATGGCCTACACATAAAAAATGACTTTGTGTAGTTTTGTAAATGACTAATTTAATCTACAAAACTTTTAGTGAATTATCAACAATAGAAGAAACAGTCAATTCTAACCAATGGGATCACTTTGGATTTCTGTCACAGTCAGTTAACTATAAGTCAAACTTGGCTGCTATTCAATCAAGATATGATAGGATATAGATTATAAATGTTGCACAAAAAGTTTTATCGAGAAAAATCATTTGATGCAATTATGGGACTCGGTTAAAGAGAGTCTATTTAATCCAGACAGTTTATCTCATTTGATTTAACGTAAAGGTATACAAAATATCAATCAGATTTCTGTAGTTATTTTGTATATCTGAATCATTTTACTTTAGATGTATAATTATGAATCACTTTTCACACAAACCACTCTGATTTGCTCAACTTTTATAACAATATTACTACATTTTAAATCAAATCTAATGATGTTCTATTTAATATTTTTATATTTACTTGAGTCAGTGGTTTTTACTTCAAGTTGAGGCTTTTAATATCTACTTGATTTAATTAAGTGTCACTTTGTGGCCATAATTTTTTAAAGTAGAAAATGATCAAACTTTTTTTGAGTGTACCTTTGCAGTATATACACTTTTTCCTCTATTTTGCTTAATTATATTTTCCCAAAGAATGAAAGATGAAGTATTCATACTTAAAACCAACTTTTCAATCATTGTTAGTGTGACATTATTTGAAATTCATTGTTTTTCTGTTTGTAATAGGAAGGTGCTGTGGTGGCCCTGTTTAAGATCTGCAGACAGGACCGCTTCAGGGACCTGTATGCTCACGCTCTGAGAACGGTGGCCTCCATCTGCTGCGTGGAAGAGGGCATTAACCAGTTGGACAAGGTACGTACACGTACGCAGCCACTATGTCCATGTTCTCAGAGCCATTTAACATCTGTTGCAGTATTTATGGATCTATAACTATGACTTCTTGATGAATATCTCATAAAAATCTGCAACATGCAAAACCCATATACAGAATTTTTTTAACAAACAAACGTGGCTCCTTTTCTCTTCTAGTTCAAACTCAATCTCAAAAAGGGAACTTTGGTAAAATAAAATTTGGAAAAAATAGAACTTCATCAAAGAAAATTCGGTCAAAGAAAACGATCAAATAAAAACATGAAAAATAAGTTGTAAAAGGATAAAATATGAGCAAATAATTAAAACAATAATAACAAAGATAAAATGATGAAAAAAACAAAGAAGTTATTATCACAATGTTTATTGATTAAGAAGTTTTTCAGTTCTCACTTTTATTCAAATTTCCGTTTACAAAACATGTTCTATCCTTGCAAAAAATATTGACAAAATTAATTCCATAAGCCCACAGCAAGGCATTACAACTTGCTTACAGATTTGGAAAAGATTTTAAGCCAGTTTACTTCCTGAAGCAAACAACATTTAAACTGGCATTTTAATCTGAAAAACTCACAGAGAGAGAAAGATGCAATTAGAAGAGTTTATTGATACAATAGTTTGAACTTTGGCGCTCAGGCCTCGGCAGGAAACATAAACGCTGATTTATACTTTAATGCAGATAAACTGATG